AAGTCCTATTTGACCAGTAGTGATCTGGCATTGCTTTTTCCTGGGCTTAGCAAGTATTCAAAGCTGACTTTTTAAATCCCAATTTAATCAGTTCTTTGAAGACCCTCAGACTCTGGGGATGTCTTGTTGTAGAATCTGACTTGATTTTGTTGTTATTGTTAATCCTCACCCGAGGATATTTTTTCTTTTTCTTTTTTAAAAAATATTTTTTATTGCTTTCAGAGAGGGAGGGAGAAGAGAGAGATAGAAACATCCTAATAATAAAAGCCTAATATGCTGTGTCCAGTCAGCCATTCAAGCAATCAAAGCATAATATGCTAATGATATGCTAAGGCCGCTCAACCTCTTGCTATGATGTGCACTGACCACCAGGGGGCAGACAGTCAACCAGTCATTATGACAAGCACTGACCACCAGGGGGCAGACACTCCGACCGGTAGGTTAGCTTGCTACTGGGGTCCGGCCAATCAGGACCGAGTGAGACGGGTCAGGCACGCCCTGAAGCCCTCATTCGGTCCCTCCCTGGCTGGCCAACCTCCCGTGTTCCTCCCAGGCCCCAGTTGTGCACTGGTGGGATCTCTCGGCCTGGCCTTCACCCTCTTGCAATCCAGGACCCCTCAAGGGATGTCGGAGAGCTGGTTTCGACCCAATCCCACAGGCCAGGCCAAGGGACCCCAGTGCTGCACGAATTCATGCACTGGGCTTCTAGTCAATGATAAGAGAGAATCATTGATTGGCTGCCTCCTGCCCGTCCCACACTGGGGATCAAGCCCACAACCCAGGCATGTGCCCTGACGAGGAATCGAACCATAACCTCCTGGTTCATAGGTCGACACTCAACCACTGGGCCAACTGTCTACTGGAGATCCAAAGTCTCTCCACCAGAACCTTCTGCTTAGGATCTAAGAAAACATGTTCTGCTGTGTTCACTCTCCCATCACATAGTATCAAGGAAACGAAACCCTTTTATCTGTCATAGGTGGGAGTGCAGTCACACCACGTCCAGCCTTCTTTTCTTTCAGCCCTCTGGGAGACCGATCAACACACAGCCTCTTGTATTTTACATTCTTCTGCTATGAATTAAAAAGCAGTCTATTGCATCACCCTAATTCCAGGGATATAGCAACGGTTTCGCTGAAGCAGCAGCATCCCTCACTAGAGTTCAAGTGAGGAAAAAGCATACACACTCCCATCCCCAACCTACCAACGTCCTTCCTCTGCCAGCTTCTTGAACTTTAACTCTTGTATGATCCATGTGGTTTAAAGATACTCCACTCAAGTCCAGCACAGTGTGTCTGGCAACTCTTGCTTTGGAATATGAAATAGTTGACACCTTTTGCCTTGAAGCTTCAATCAAAATTAAGACTAATATTTTTGTTTTCACATTGTGTAACAGTAAATAAAATCATACTTTACAGATGATTCAAGGGGCAACATATTTAGAAAGGAATTGAAAAATAAATGAGGAATATCTATAAGCAAATTAAATATAAGTTGTAATATTTTATACATACATTATATATTTACATAGATATATGTATTAGGACTCCAGAATTGATTAGTCCCATCCAGGAAAAGGAGTTAGTTACACAGAGGAATTTAATAGTCACATGGCAGATGGAGCAAGGGAAGGCTCAGGCAAGAGATACTGGCCAGATAATTAGAAGATTCTGGTGACTATAATTTAATGATCAAACCTGAATTTTTGAAAAGTAAAGTGTGCACTGTGAATACATCCACATAATAGATGTAAACCAGAACTGTCTCAGATAAACTGGATATTTGATCTCCCCACAAATAATAATAATAATAATAATAATAATAATAAATAAAAACAGCACAATGTTGACTGATAGGAGAAACCAACAATGAAATTGATTTCTGGATTGAGCCAATGGGGATTTGCTCCAAAGGGAATACTAGTGAGAGTGCAGTCTGGATCAGAATAAGGATATAGAAGGCATTTCATTTGTAATTAATAATGACAGCACATTAACTCTCTGTTACTTCTGAATGAAAGATGGTATGCTTTATGGGCCATATTTAAAAGGTAGTATAGCAGCCCAGCTGGCATGGCTTAGTGGCTGAGCATCAACCTATGAACTAGGAGGTCACAGTTCTATTCCTGGTCAGGGTACATGCCTGGGTTGTAGGCTTGATGCCCAGTATGGGGCATGCAGGAGGCAGCCAAAAAATGATTCCCTCTCATCATTGATGTTTCTACTTCTCTCTCCCTCTCCCTTCCCCTCTGAAATCAATAAAAACATATTCTTTTTTAAAGTAAAAGGTAGTATAACAAAAGTCAGGACATTAACTGTAGGGGGTCCTAAGAAGAAATATCATAATCATTCAAATAAATACAGAAAGATTAGTAAAAAGTAATCAAAGTAATATAAAATATTAACTAGGAAGAGTGGTCTAGATATCCAAATACATGTGTTTGACTTGAAAAACCTTGATAAAGATAAACATACTATGCCAGAGGTACTTAAAATAGGGGAGTAGAATTGTTTATAAATAGAGCCATTAGAATACTTGGGTGAAGTGGGGGGGAAGAGATGTCATTTTCTAATGGACATGCCAGTTAGCCAGATGTCGTCATTTAGTCCTATCCCCTGAGGCTCTAAAAATTTTGGAAAATAAAAAAAAATCTGAAAGCATGCATGTGTATACTAGTATACACACACACACACACACACACACACACAACATACACACACCAACAATTTTACATTAAAGTTAAAGCTACGTTCCCAGTCAATGATGAATTTAAATTAAAAGGGAAGAGTTAAAGTAGGAAACAAATTGCTTTCAATTAAATATAACATAGGCTTAACAGTTAAAATATTAATAGAGACTAATAGTCATAACTAGTATTTGCATGTTGTTTACAAGTACTTATGAATCCTAAAATAACTGAGGGGTGAGCAATTATTTGTCCCATTTTACATATGATGAAACCGAGATATAGTGAGGTTAAGAAACTTGACCACAGTCACACGGCTAGGAAGTGATGGTAATTAAGGATTCAAATTCAGTCAAATGCTACAACCAGGCTACAAAGCCCCGTGTTCATCATTTCTTTGTACCTATGTGGCAGGGGGAAAAGGAAAGTGTTTCATAAAGCCAGATCTGATAACATATTGATTATTTGCTTCAGTATTTCAGCTTTTACACATCACCATCTTTAGTGTGTTAAAAATAAATAACAAAAACCCCACCTAGATGCAGGCTAAGCCAATGCAGTTCAGTCTATACTATTTTGTGCAAACACAGCTACTTTCCTTTTTTAATGAGGTACAAATATCAGCTCTCTTCTACTTCTCTCAATCTCACGTGATTCTGATAAAGTTTTTGAAAAGCAAAATGGAATCTTCTGGAAGATTCTGAATGAAACCAAGAGCTGCTAACATGGCTTCATGCTGTATGAAGCCCTTGCAGTGTGTAGGTCTTTAGCTTCTCCATTGCTGTGTCACTGCTCTTGGATGTACAGTTGCCTATTGGACAAACACTGCGAAAATTTTCTCTTATGAAAGTCCAATGTGTTTGTGGTAAGCAGTACATGTTAGATAATAGTAATGAAATGCAAAGGGAGAGTGATTTGGCTTTTATTTTGACATGACTATTGCATTCTAGGTAGAATAGTGTTGGAAGGCGGACTTTGCAATATTTAGAGTTTTACTACTTAGTAATATTTTAATTTTTAATATACTCAAGTCCCTAGTTTTCATAGCATTCACAATGGAATAGCTGTATACGTTCACGTGTCTTCTAAATATTGTTAGTTTCTAAAGGAACCAGTGGTAAAAATTATTTCTGTAGTTTACCTGTTTTGGCTAGGTTACAAAAGAGGCAATTGTTAAACAACTTAACATTAAATATTAAAAAATAAAGGTAGCATTAAAGAATGAAGTTGAATTGTCTCAGGCTACATATCACTCAGCCCCTGATTAACACCAAGTTAGTATATCAGGTTGGGAAATTTCATAAGTTTCAATTTTGAAATTAAATACAAGGTGTCTAAACATGGAAAGATGCCTGGAATGTTACCTTTAGGATTTAATCTGTAGCTCAGAGTCGATTCAAGCTATTTTCGTTTGCCTTTTTTTCTTTTGTGCCTACGTCACCGGTTTAAGGTTTTTATTTATTTAATTTTAAGAAGAAAGAAGGGGTTCTGTGGAGAACGTTGACGGTCTGCTAACCACAAGGAGGACTAAAGAAGGACTCCTGGGGGCGGGGGGGTTCGCTGCACGGGGGCGGCGTGGCAGCATAGAGGGACAAGGAGGGAGACAATTCAGCACTCTCCTCTAATCTTATTCCACCCAAGAAATTTTGGAGAATGCGAAAAAAGCAGCAACCCAGCATTCTTCAAGGGGCGTGTCTTCCCTCCAGGGGCTGTCCAATCGAATTCCTTCAGAGGGAGCAATCCAGTGAAGATTGATGAGGGTTGCTAGGAAACGGGAGCGTCTCCCGCCCGCCTGACCCAGAGATTGTTCTGCACAAGCCCTCTCCAGGGGCTTGCAATGTGCAGTTGAGCTGCGTGTGGGGCAGCGCTGCACACCGGCCTCCCAGGCTCTCTCGCCCCACTCCGCTCCCGCTCTCCCTCCCGCGTGCGGTGAGCCGGGTGCCAGGGGACCACGGGAGACCTGCTCCTGGGCTGACGGCGAGTACTCGCTCTCCTGCAGGCGGGGAGCTCGAGCAGAGCTTCAAAGTTAGAGCCGCAGATCTCCCGCCGCCCCACGCCCCTTCACCCCGCCCCTCCGACATCCCCAACCTTGGCGTGCACTGCCTAAGGATTTCAGAGGGAGGCGAAGGTCCGGCAAAACCTCTCCGGATTTCCATTCCACAGTCCTCTCGTCTAGGTACCCTAGCTCCCCGAAGACTCTGCGGATACACCCCTATAAGCGGGAGGGAGGAGCGGAGGGGGGAGGGGAGAGGCGAACCAGAGAGGGAGGAAAGGAGAGAATGCCAGGTCCCTGCCTCTGCCGGCAGTCCCAGTCAGATGCTGTGGCTTTAGCCCGGCCAAGGTGAAGGAAAGTTGCTTCCGCGCCTGGGAAGTGTGTTTGCCTGTAACGAGGCGAGGGGCTCAGCTGGGAACTGTTCCCCCGCCCTCCCTGGAAGACCACTGGGTCTCCCCCTTTTCCCAACCTCCTTCGTCTCCTCCTCCCACCCTCCCTTTCCCCACTCCCCACTGACTGGAAGGCCTGGATGTGCCGCCACCGGGCAGTGGTCCAGCTCGCAGCCGGGAGGGGGCGGTGGCAGGGGCAGGGGGCACTGTGACGGGAAACGGCGCGCACAAGTTGGCCATCTCGGGGGCAGAAGAAGTTCTCCCTGGCATTTGGAAAGGACAAAGCCAGCAAGCTACCTCTTTTGTGTCGGATGAGGAGGACCAACCATGAGCCAGAGCCCGGGTGCAGGCTCAGCCACCGCCGCTGCCACCACGGTCAGCTCCAGTCCCTGCCAGGAGTTGTCAGTGCCAGGTAAGGGGTCCAGAGCAGGACGCGTCCCTCTGGAGGGCGCCCGGGGAGGGCGCCGCGTGGGGCAGGTGCAGCCGGGAAAGTTGAGGCAGAGCACAGACCGGTCCCTACAGTGTTGCAGGGGTGGGGAGGGTGGGGGGCAGAGGCCATGTGGGTGGGTGTGCGTGAGTGAGAGTTTGTGTGTGTGCGCGCACTTCTGTGTCTCCGGGCGGGAGGCAGCTTTGAGGGCACAGGATGCCTGCAGCCAGGATGAGCGAGGTGGAGGGACCACGGATGCTCGCAGACCCCCAGAGAGACCAGGCTCATCAGCCAACCACCGCCAGCCCTGTGCTGGGCTCCGGAAAGGTTTCGATTTGGGGGTTCCTCAGGTTTTGTGCCCAGGAAACCCTGCGGTGACTGGCTGCCACGCCGGCTGTTTCGTGTGGGTGTGGAGGTCGCCGGGCGAGGTGGGCAGCGGGCAGCGGGACTTGGTCCGTGTTGCAGCCGGGATGCACTCTGCAGGGAGAGGCGGCCAGCGGTTCGCTGTGCTGCAAACACTCTTGGAAATGATCCCTCACTCTATGCACTTTGCTCCCTTTGGCTTGAGTGAAAAATCGAAAAGCCAAACTGAGAGCCTCTATCTCTTCATCTCTCCTGTTCCATTTTCTTATCTGACAGTGAGATAACTCAGAGGTCGGGGGATTCGCGGTCTAGAAATAGACTAGGTAATATATCCAAGGAGCTTGATTCTTAAGGATTTCATTTAGATTTTCTTCTAGTTCCTTCCCTGGGTTAACAAGCGTGGGAGATTCCCCAAGGCGTAACTCTTTTAGGTAGATATCTTAAGGGGACATGCCCCTGCCTTGCAAGTATTTTCAAGCATTGTGTACATTTTGATAACAAATAACAAAAAGGCACACTTCTAATAATCTGTGGTCAAGTACTCAACTAAATCGCTAATAAAATTTTTCTACTGTTATTTGAATAATGCTGTGTTTGACACATACTGGTATAGTTACATGTATATTCAAAGTTGAGGTCAATGTGAGTTGAAGCTAGTGTGACTTAAAGACCTCAGCAATAGTTTGGTGCTTTGAGTTTCTCTGCTTCAATTTATTTGTGCTAGCTGATCTTAGAACTGGTCAGTAGAGCTATATGGTGTTTCTTTGAGGAGATAAAGCATTTATTGGTAGAGAAACATAGTTCAGTTCCCTACATCTAAGTCTGCTTTGGTTTATCTGATCATGTATTTTAAGGCTGCTACCTGAACTCTAATTGTTTGTGTAAATTTATTTAATATAGTCATAACCAGAACACTTAGATTGCCATTATACTAAACTGTGGGTTATACAGCTCCTACCAAAGAGGTTTAGGCTATTACTTAATGATTCTATAGTGCTAGGCACCTTTTGTTCTTCTCAAAATAGGCCAGTAGAATTTAAACAGATTTTGGAAACTATTGTACACTAGACCTTAATAAAGTGATATTTCCCTTTCATAATGCCAGTGTCTTGCATTTATAAAGATTTCTCACACCTCCTTTCAGGTTCTGATCATGCAGCAGAACTCTAAGGATATTTTGAATGATTCTGCCCTAACGCTTACTTGATTTCTATTCAGAATAGCACAGGTGCTCAGGATGGAAACTAAGGAGAAAAAGTCTCGAAACTTATTTTCACAAATAAAAGAACAAAAACGCTAGAATATCTACATTCATTGGGCTAAACAAAAGGATAAATGGTAAGAATACCTTTTAGTATTGACAGTCTCCACTTCTCCCCCCCCCCAAAAAAAAAAGTTTGTATAAAATCTCTTGGTCTATAAGCTAGATCCTTACAAATGAAATCATTGAAAATTATGCCAACACAGGAATAGGATACACTTCAAGGGGGCGGGGGGGGGAGGCTTGGGGGGTAGAAACCTCAATTTATATTGAATATTTTTCATAATTCAAGAATATGTGATTAGTAAATTGAGAAAATATGAGAAGCTACACAAACAGAAAATATTATTAATAATGAAAATATTTTCAATGATCCACTTATTTGTGTATGATGGTCGTTTTAAAAAAGTTGTGGTGTACACATGAAAAGAAATAATAAGTCAAATCATTTACCTCACAATGACCAAACATCAAAATCATCCCATCTCTAAATTTGTATCACTGCAATTAGAATTGGTGGGTTGAACAAATGAAAAGATAGGATAAAATTGAATTGTAATAAAATTTAATATTTTTATTGAATAAAAGAACGAGGATAAATGTCTAAAGGTCACCTGCCTCACTTCTCTACTTCAGGACAGGTGATCACCAGAGCTGCACAAGATTGAGGATGGTCTTCTTTTGAAAGATGTCCAGCAATAACATGTTTACAACTTCCCTGAATACCTTTTCCCCTTCCTTATTTCATGTCAAACTCTTTTCTTAAAATTAAACCATTTTCTCTTTCCTGTCCATTTCTCTAATAGGTATCAGTCACAAAATGTTGCAAGATTTTTTTTCCCAGGGTCCTACCTACCTCCTGCCAAACTGTGGTCAGTGACCTGGGGTTGAAAGGTTTCAATTTGTTGTCCTGTACTCCACATCATCCCAAGATACCATTAAACAACAGACATGAAAATTAATACCAGAAAGCCAGGCAGACAGGATGCATGTATGCACATTGGAATGTGGCCAGAGTTCCAGGGTGAGAATTGTTTTCTCCAGGGGTCCCTCCCAAAAGTAAAGGAGTGTTTACTCATGCTTCGCTATTTTACACTGTTTATTGTGCATTTTCATCTTTTCTGAGATGCTGCTAAAATGCATCCAATTCTACATTAGATAAATTTGTTGAAATTGCTCCCTCGAAGTAGCATAAAATGACAGAAGATTTTCCACCAAGACTGAACACATAAAATGAGTACAATCATAGTAATCACACAGACGGTAGAAGCTATTAGGTCATTCTCCTCCTTCCACTTCTAATGTAGGCTTGGTCCCCATCGCGTACTGCATTTTGGAGTACTTCAGTCCAGTCTGATTTTAAATGGCTCGAGTAATGTCTTTTTCCAGTGCATTTGAAAGACTATTTCACAGTCTAATAGTTCTCCCTATTAAGAACTTTGTTGTAATATTCAGCCTAATTATCCCTCTGTTCTATTTTGTCTTGATACTTATTCCCTATTATAACCCCTCTGGACCAGTACATTCTGTTGCCTGATTTAGAGTCTTCATCTCACATTTATTCACGATTTGCAGGATACAAAAGGCTTTATACAGTAACAGGGGAGAACACAAAGGTGACAGTTCTATATCTGAACATGCTTTCTAAACATTTAAGGCAAATCTTTCAGGTCATCTATAATATATAAGATAACTTTTTAAAAAATATATTTTTATTGATCCCAGAGAGGAAGGGAGAGGGAGAGAGAGAGATAGAAACACCAATGATGAGAAAGAATCATTGATCAGCTGCCTCCTACACACCACACACTGGGGATTGAGCCCTCAATCTGGGCATGTGCCCTGACCAGGAGTTGAACCATGACCTCCTGGTTCATAGGTCAATGCTCAACCCCTGAGCCATGCCAGCCAAGCTGATTACATATTCTTAATAACTTGTGTTCCTAATGTAAGTGAGGGAATTTTCCATCTCTGACAGTAATGACCCATGTGAATATTGAGCTGATTCCTTCTAAGTAATGTTCTATGTGGATGCACATTTATGAGACATTTTCATTGCAAATTTAATATCAACAGAACCCTGTCAACACCCACACTACACGGGAATTCTGTGACATGCTGGTCTGATGCTCCACTGAGCCCCAGAAGTTGTTGTCATGTAAATCACTATTGAAATGAAAGTGATTTCCATAATTAATCGGATGTGCTAGGCATATAGTGGTGTGTGTAGCTTAGATGTATACATTAACACAATATAGTAATTCTGTTAGAATACAGTAGCCCCTTCATACTAAAACAATGTTCAAAGCCAGCAGAAGTAAGCTTGAATTCATCACTGTACTATATCATGAAAAGTAAGTTTGAATCATGTATATATCAATATGGAATAAGTTTTGATTTATATGGAGGTACCATATGTGAAGGTGAGTTTAAAAATAGAAAAATCCAAAATAACCACAAGAGAGAAACAGGTTTTCACTTCATTCACTTAAAATCTCGTTCTAAGATGTCTATGCGTAGGCTTCTGTTAAGAGTCTTAAGGAAATATCTTGGTAGACTCACCATCCCACTCAGTTGTTTCTTCAAGCCCCAGCCACTGAAATGTAAGTTAAGCTCGTCAGTAGAGGAGTAAATGATATAAATCAGGAAATAAGTTCCTAGGTTACACTTGGCAAGTCCAGAAAATATAAGACTCAGAGTAAAGTGAATCAGCAGCTAAAAATACTTTTCCACTGCTTGGTGAGCATTAGACTGCACATAGAAACATTTATGTAGATTAAATTAAGGAAACAGTAAAAAAAAAAGTGGCATTCTAAAACTGAATATGTCTTTAAGAGAATAAAATTAGACTGCATGGAATAAATAATATTTAAACCAACGTTTTTTATAGTACCATTCATGGCATAGTGGTGAGTACCCTCAAAATGATTTTCCTTAGAAAACAAAGGGGAAATCAATTTTCTTGGTGTAGGGAAAGTAGGCCATTAATGTACTTGTGACTTCTCCCTGGGACTGAGGCATTCTAAGAAGTCTGTGTCTACACGGACTATAATACTTCCTCACCAAGTGAGTAATCTTTTTATGGAACTGAAAATTGTACACTGTACTTTAAGAATGGACAGAAAAATAAACTGGGAAAACATTCAGGTGTAATTGTAGACTAAAACATCATATTTGAAAATAAAACCACATAAAAAGAAGGTATCTCTACAGAAAGCCCAAGGCAGCTGTCATTTTTACTTGCCTGTATAGCATTACACACACACACACACACACACACACACACCCTACCCACATACACACACATTTGAATAAATTCAAATTCATTTGAAAGAGTATAGATATACACTAAACAAAAAAT